CTTAGCATGGTCATAGGAATTAGAAGTAGCTATTTGATTGTTTCTCCACCAAACCATATGCATCTTAAGGGTTCAGGTATGCGTTAATCACAATCATATTCCTGATGGCTTACACAACATAAGATGATTATTTGGTTCTCCAAAATGACACTGAATTTACTGGAACTTAAACAGGGAATTCATTTTCAAAACAACAGTTCAGTCATATTGAACCCCAGATATTTTCAAGGAGAGAAAACAAAACAAAACAAAACTCTTTCAAGGCATTGAAAGATCTAGCTAGGTTTGTATAATTAATTAGGGGGAGGGTGTCAGAGAAGCCGGGCTTCTTGATACTCACAAGTACATAGCGAATCATATATCTATATCTACCTCTATCTACAAAATATATTCTACTGCTTAATATATATGAAATATGATCTCGTTAGCATTATAATATTTTAGGGAGAGGCTTATGAATAATTTATTTGCATATAAATATAATCAAATATGAAAATCATGCATGCTAATAGAACTATTAACAGCTGATTTACTGTCTACTCTGTACCCAATGTGGCATCTGTGTGTATGTGTACTACATTATTATAATTTAATCATAAATTCAGGGTGAGATTTTTTTTTTTAATAAAAGCAAGCAATTGCCACTAATCGCTTGCCTGATAATCTCAGTGGGAATTTAATTCAAAGTTACTGATGTTGAATGCCAATGTGCTACAGGCTATACAACGCTATACTGAAAGCCAAATTAAAAAATGCATTTCTGGTGTGAGGCAAAGAAATATTGATAACTCGCATGTGCAACAGAACTGAAACTAGAATCCCGTATCTTATATGTTTTATAAATATCCAAACAGTATCAAGACAGCAATATTTACTGTCACAAGATTGGCATGTCATGACGTAGAACAACTGGTGTTGAGTTACTGTTTGAAGAAGGATGTGACTCCGGGAAAAGCAACATGTGATGGCTTCAGGCTAAAACACAATGCGCCATATTTCACACTGAGCAATCAAAATTTGTAACTTTGGGCCGGCCGAGTAGCGCGATGGTTAAGATCTGGCTTGGGATGCCAGAGGGCCCCGGTTCGGATCCCACATATGAGGGCCAGTGACACTGATCTGCCTCACCCAGGAAGAGCGCAATGATGGTGCCAACTTGGGCCAGAGAAGCAACGTCCTCCACAACTAGACTGAAGAACAAAAACAACAGCAACTTGTCTGTTCCCCTTCCCCCAATTCCCCACCACTGTTCCCATCCCCCCAATTCCCCAATAAAAATCTTAAAAAAAAATTATAATTTTTACAAAACTAGGCTTTTCCAGAAAAGTAGACCTTTCATATCATGGAAGGCTTCAAATGTTGTGCAGAGGAAATAAACTTTGCCAGCTTAAAAAAAACCAACTATATATATATAAGTATATATATACATACACATATATATGTATATTTATAGAAACCAAAAATATAGGCATGGACAAATCTTCACCTTGAAGTTGCTCTCTTTGCCTAGGTTGTGTGCCTTTATTTTATGCATGTGGTAAATTAATTAACGGAATATGAAGTTCTGGAAACATCTCTTAAGGCATTCTATGTCTCCCAAATTCAATTAAAGTACAAATTACAATGACCTGAAGTAACTAATAGAAGAACACATTTTTATCTGAGCAAAGTAGAGAAGGATCATCAGAGAAACCTGAGTTCTGACAAGATAGAAATATGTCATCCATTTATTGGGAAGGTAGAGATGTCCTTCAGTATCCTTTAGAAAGTGTCTGGTAACAATGAGAAGCAAGGAAAGTGGCAAAAACACCCTCCTTGACAAAACTTTAGTCAGGGTTCTTTAAGGCTGCTTTTTTTTTTTTTTTTGACTACACATTGTCTTTGGGCCATGTCCCTTGGTCTGCCTTTAGTAAAGAATCCTACCTAAGTCAGTTTAGGGCGAATCCTTCCACCCTTGATATCTGAATACTGTTGATAACTGATCAAGTTCCTTATTACCCACTCTTAATATTCATGTCCATGGCCTGTTTTTAGCAAGAACCCTATTAGGCCAGTTTAGCAAGAACCACATTGCCCTTGAAATTAAATCAAGTTCCACTTAGACAATTTCCATTCCCTGTCTCTTGTCACTCTTCTCATCGGCTTAATCCCCACTTTTCCTTGAATTTGGAGTTGAGTTCAATCTTTCTTTCCTATGGCAACAGCCTTGACACTTATTGCAGGTATCAGAATAATTCCTCTTTCACAAAAGGAACAGTATATTAAAAAAAGGTAATCAAAAGGAAAGCATGTTTGCGTTTACCCTTTAGCAGGGAATGAGAAAGGCAGATCTGAAGCAAATACAGCAGCTGTAAGAACTATTGGATTATTTCTGTGATATGTATATTTGAAGTGTTAGAGTTAGAATTATTACTATTTTTTTAAATCAATCAAAATAAGAATTTTACCCAACCAGACTTTCAGACAGGGAAAAATGGGAGACTTATATCTAACTGAATTCACCAAGTTCTCATTGCATGAAGAAGTGATCTTTGTATTTTTAGCATTTACCAATTAATAAAGATAAACTTGCAGCATTTTTGTGCACATGTCATTTTAAGTTCTGCAGAACTCAACAGATCTCATAGCATCCAATATCTGGAAAGGAGTGTGGGAGTCATCTATAAATCTTTATTCTACATACAAGAAACTTCATTCTGGGACATTTGGAAAGCCAGTAGCAGAGCCAAGACCACCATCTTTTGGCTCTTTCTATTCATCTCATGAAACCACACTGCTATGCCAGTTATTCCATTAACAACTACAAGTATATTCTCAGAGAGTTGTTCCTAGAGATCATTAACAGTGTTACTCCACATCGAAATTAATGTTTGAAGTGATTGTACCAAGTCATCAATGAAGTGCTTTAGTATGTCCTGTATACTGTATTTTAGCAATAAAGGAAATATGTAATAGAGTTTAGAAGAATTTTGGTGAAAAAGAGTGCATATTGTACATTCACTTTTTTCAAAGTGTTGCCAATAAAATGAAATAATTAGAATCATCATCACCTTCTCTATTTCTATGCTGATATGTG